TAATTGAGTTGGAGAACTGAGAGTTGCACTGTGAGTTTGAGGAGTGGACAGTCATGGGAAGCAGTCAGTTAATTTGAGGCCTCAGGAGCAGGGCAGGGGGCTATGTTTATAATGCTGCCCATTTTATACAGCTTCAGAAAGGAAGACACCCAGGAGAGAAGTGATTGTATTGTCACCAGATGGAAAGGCTGATGACAAATCTTAGGTTGAGTCTGAGCACAGGCAGGAAAGACTTAGCTCGGGAGGAAGAGGAATCCTTTGTGGGGGCAGAAGGGAAAAGGAGGAAAGGAGTGATGATGACTAAGCTTGAGTGTCTGGAAGGCCCTGCTAAGATGCTAGACTTTGTCTCTGGGGCCGGGGAAGCCTAGAAGGTTGTTGAAGACTGCACGTGGCCAAGAGAGGCCATGGCTATGCCTGATAGGGATGTGTAGGATCAGTGAGAGGAGAAAGAATTGGCTAAGAGAGACGAAGACTGCAAAGGGAGAGAAAGAACTGCCTCTGGTGGCTGCCTTGTACCCACAGCAGGCACACATTCCACACAGGCATGCTATAGCAAAATGCCATAGGCTGGGTGTTTACATACAACTAGTGTCTGTCTGTCATAGCTTTGAAAACTAAAAGTTCTGTCAAGTTCCTGGAGATCCAGGGTCTAATGAGGGCATGCTCCTTATAAACAGCATCTTCCATGTGTCCTGCTTTGGCAGGAGGAGGAGAGGTCTCTCCGAGGCTCCTTTAATAAAGACACTCGTCCCATTTGTGAGGCTCCAACCTATGACCTGATCACCTTTAACACCATTACATTGAGGTTAGGTTTCAATTTAAGAATTTTTGGGGGGTGGTAGGGGACACACAGGCTTTCAGACCACAACACACACGTGCACACTGCACACACACATTGTGATGCCTTCCCCAAGGGTGCAGAGGGCAGGTGGGTGACAAGGATAACATTGTCATTCACATACAGAGGCAATGGTCTTTGTATCACATTGTGCAGAGTGAGTGAATATTTACAGTACTGATAGGATTTATTGCAAGAGGCATGAAGGAATGGCTGTTTGGAGTAAGGGGTGGTACCTGGCAAGCCAAGAAAAGCTCCAGACACTGAGTTCCACCTCTTTGGCTGTCCCTTGGGGGAGATATTCAGGTAGCAAATGCCTGTTTTATGCATTCTCTGTGGAAAAGAGCTTTGAGGGCAGCACCTGTGGCCCCACTGTTCATAAATCCATTGCCAGTTCGGGTTCCAGCTCCCTGGACAAAAATCTTCAGTTGAGGCCTTTGGTGGCATCTTATTTACAATGTCTCATACTTGCCACTAGTTGCTCCAGGATTGTCTCTGATCCTTTGGTTTTTCAAAGCAAACCAAAGAGAAGCTGGAGGTGTATCTTACTGGTAGAACACTTGCCTAGCATGTGTGAGGCCCTGGGTTCCATCTCCAACACTACAAAAAACAAATTTGTAGAGCACCTGACTAGCAAGCATGAAGCCCTGAGTTGAGTTTAAACCCCAGTACTGCCCCCTAAAAAAATAAACCAAAACAAAAAACACAGAACGAGAAGAGGACCTGTGACAATGCTCAGGCAGGCTCTCTGGGGGTCTGGGTCTCTACCAGGCATGAACCCTGCCTCTACTTTCCATCATGGCGGTGACTCCTTCAGCAGGGCCACCAGTGCCCACCTGTGCAGGTGACTGGTTCCTGGCTTGGCCCACTCAGCAGCACCCATGCCTGCTGGGAAGGCCCATCTGCTGGGAAGGGTCTAGCAGCCAAAGCCAGTCTGTCCCCAAGGAGACAGGACTTGTGGCCCATAGCACCCAGCAAGCTGTGGGACAGCTGTGTTTTTCTGTAACTTGTTGAAGAGCCTTGTTGTCCCAGCTCATCAGGAGTGGGAGCCACAGTGAGACCTGCTCCAAAATCTGCAACCTGGCTGCTGACTCACTCTTCCTCCCACCCTGGGTGCTGGAGCATCAGTGCCCATCCTCCACCCCTCATCCCCCCCACCCTCCTCCCTGGCCCACAGCTGCAGGGGTAGCCACGGATGCTTGCTTAGTGGGGCTCAGAGCCACCTGCGCTTGACAGGACACTTATTTTTACATGCTGTCGGCTGGAAATAATCAACTTTATTTAAAGAGAATGTGAATTCAGAGTGCTAAAAAAAGCACCCAGCAACTTGCTAGGGCTGTTTTAGGAGTTCTGCCTCCTCTGGAAGGAGATACAGAGCTCATGCACCTGAAGCCTAGCCAGGACTGTGGGAGACACAGTTGGCAAGATGAGCCAGGTGTGCCCTGCCCCCCCATGACAGGGCCCTGCCAGGAGCATAGAGGTTTGTGGGCTGGTGTGGGATCAGTCTGGCAGACACCCCCCAGACTGAGACTGGCAGCCTTCCTTGAAGCAACAGTTCACGTGGCATCATTGGCCATAAGCAAGGGTACACTCTGTGGAGCATCTGTCCAGGGCCCAGGTGCACTCCACTCTCTTCTCTGTAGAGAGCTGCCTCTCCTCTTGTCCCCACTTTTGAGGAGTCTTAGTGCCAGACTTCTGTCAAGTGCTGGAGCCATGTTGGTCTATACCTTGTGTGGGAGTGTATTTGGTTTGTGCATTACAATTTTGATTGTTTTCACACGATAATGTAAGTGCAGGCTGTCAGAGGAGGGATGTGTAGGTCCTCCCACTTCCCACTACTCCCTCTGGGAGCACAGGTAGCCACTGCTGCCCTGTCTTTTCACGGACATTTGCCCCATGTTCAAGTGTGAGCTTAGTTCTGCCATCTCAGCTTTGGTGGGAGGGTCTTGTGGGCACTTGGTTGCTGGGCAAGTCCATGTCGTTTATTTGGCTCCTCCTCACCCCTTCCAGGGGTGTCCAGGGCTTGGGCTGGAGCTAAAACGTGACAACTTAGCTTTGTTGAAAGCCACCATGTCTTTAGAGGAAGTTGGGCAACTTTATGGGAAAAATGAGTTAAGGATTCCAGTATTCCACCTAAAGAATGTGAAACAAGATCTAGTTTTTGGTGAGCCGTATCAATAAGTACAGCAGTGATTTTGAGGATAGTAATGTAGCCTACTCTATGCGATTCAAGTTAGATGCTCAGACCGATGGCGTAGTTAAATTTGAGTAATTTTAGATTGGTGAGCTCTGTGCATCCTGAGCATTTGCAGGGTTTTCCTCAGTGCTGGTCTCCTTGGAACCATATATCTGTGGATACCAAAGGTCTACTGTGTACATACTTTCTCTTCTTAAAAGCTGAGGGTATACCTTACATAGAAGGCATATATCCTTTTTCCAGTTTTGTGGTGTATTGAAAGCTTTCTCCACACTGTTAAATCATCTTTGGAAATACCATCAGTACATTGACATTGTCTTTCTTTTGCTGCCTTCATCCTGCTCTGTTTCCTTAAGTTGTTGAGCCAGGTATCCTCTGGGCTCCCGGTTCCTGTATGTCATCATCTCGCCCTTATGGGCAGTTTCAGGCTGGCATTCATTCTTCAATAGTGCTAATTTTGAATATCACCTCTGACTGAAGTTATTTGCCTTAGTCACTGTTTGCTTGCGTTGCCTCACCAAACTGTCACAGAACGGCAGCTTAAAGCACACATTGACACTGTTATTATTCTGAGGTAGGAATCTGAAGTCAGGGTGCTAACCAGGCCTCACTCCTGAAAGCTGGAAGGTAGAATCCTTTGATCTCTTCCAGCTTTGGGTGGTGGTCCACAGGCCTTGGTGAGCCCCACACTCCAGTTTGCCTTTTTCACATGACTGTCTTCTTCACATAGCTGTCTGCACAGCATCTTCCCTGGGTACGTCTGTGCCCAAAGTCCCTCTTTAAAAATACCAGTCATGGTGGCTTTGGGCCCACTGGATCGTGCCTGAAAAGACCCCATTCCCAAGGAACATGACAGTGTGATGTTCTGGGGGTCAGCACTCCAACATATCATCTGAGAGACACATGTAGCCCTTAATCCACCAGTTACCTAACTAGCTCAGATCACTGGAGGCCCAGTCTCATGCATGAATGCAGGTTGGGCTTACCTAAAGTAGGTAAATGTGTTCTTGTCTGAAAACCTGAGCCAGAAAAAGTATGCCCTTTTTACCACCCCTTCCCAACCTTCATCAGCACAGATATTGACACGTGGAGTTTTGTGCTTTCCCGAGTGAGTGCCATGAAGTGCACACCTTGTTTGTAGTTTTTATCTGTTGATCTATGAGCAGGCCCTGGAGAAGATGGCCCAGCCCCACCCCCACAGAAGGTGGTGTGCAACTGCCTCCCATGACAAGGCCTTTGTCTGTGATTTACATCCTCAGCTCACTTAGGGACCTGTGAATCAGTCATTTCAAAAAAGTGTTTCTGGGCTGGAAGAGTGGCTCAAGTGGTAGAGTGCCTGCATAATAAAAAAGTGTTTCTGTGATTAGCATTGTTAAGATTTATGACAAATACTGTCTTATTTTCACAACCAGCTTCTTGGCTAGGCCCATTTGCATTTGTGCTGTGTTTATAATGGATGTATACAATAGAATTTGGCTGGGGTTTTTAGGCCATCTCATTAAATGTATTGCTTACATCTTCCTAATGATGCACACAGGTTTAATGCAGTCCCTTTGGGTTTCATTTACTTAACTAGGGGAAAATAGAGGCTCAGGGTTAGATTTGGATTGAGTCTAGCAGCTGTAGGATGAACTTGTTTTGCCTTTTTAAAAATAGGCCCCGTCAAGCTGTTTAGAATACAGCAGGCCCCCAACAAGTCACGGGTTTTATGAACAGGGGCACAGGGCTAGTTAACAGCATGGTCCGGAGCAGCTGGCAGCACTGGCTCTGCTTTGGTGATAGTTACAGGTGCTTTTCTAAACTTGAGGGTTGGCGTATGGGTTTCTTCTGTCTTGCTTTCCCCTTGTCCTGTGATTTATGGGAAGACCACTAGGAGAGTCACAAAGGAAATTGTCCCAAGAGACAGGGTTTTCATATGCAAAAGCCAGTGAGCTTGAGGTGAAACCTGGACTGGTCACTCCTCAGGAGGAAGGTGTGGCGTGTGCTAGGCCGCCAAGGTCCCCTCTGCTCACACTTACCCAACTGCATCTCACATTTCCTTTCTATTTCAGGATTCAGGAGCAGTTCCAGAGGAATCCTGACAGTTACAATGGTGCCGTCCGTGAGAACTACGCCTGGTCACAGGACTACACAGATCTGGAGGTCAGGGTGCCGGTGCCCAAGCACGTGGTGAAGGGAAAGCAGGTAACAGCTGGGACGAGGGCTTCACTCCAGCCAGTCTGAGCTGTGGGGGGTGCACCAACTTCGACATAGGAGGGTCAGGATCTGCTTCTGGATTGGAGGCACATTCCTGCTCTTGCCCGAGGCAGGTGGGCTACCTCTGCTGGCCTCACTCCACCTTCTGCCCGGGATATACTTTCAGTTAGTCTCTGAGCAGTATCAACCCCAAGAGTCCATGTGCTCCATGTCCTTGCCTCTCACTAAACAAGTCACAGGCATTCTCAGGTCCTGGTATAAATGACCAGCCTCTTAGTTTTCACAGGAAGACTTAAACATTACTTTGGTGAATTCTTTATCTTCCTAGAGTCTGTCTGGGGTTTCCCTACGATCAGTCAGTCAGTGGAGGGCTCACGCGCCTCCTCATGGCGCATCTCCTCAGTTCCCAGCTTTGCCAGCCCAGAGTCCAGCCAAGTCACATCAGACAGGTAACAAGTGGGCAGTACCTTCTTGTGTGTGATAAATATTTGTGATTTAGTCATGGGGCAGTGAGGGGGGAGTGAGCACAAGTTCTTAGATGCTGCAGTTTCCCAGGGCTCGAGGTGGCTGTGCAGGAAGGGGATAGGCCTAGCCCACCCAGGTCTCCATCTCTTTCCTGCTGTCTGTTTACTTCTCCTGCCCCTTGCGGTGATTGTTTCTCATGGCCAACACATGTGTGCCGAGTTCAAGCTTCCCTTTCCTCAAGCCTCCTTTCTAAAGTTGGCGCAGGGTTATTGGAGGGCATCCTATATCTGCCAGGGTCACTGTCTTGGTGTCACTGCTTGGACTCAGTAGCCAGGCCTTTCATCGCTGGTGCCCATGGAGGGCTGGTCCCACTTGGTCAGCACAGGTGCTGCGTTATGGTCTTTGTCTCTCCTCACTGGCAGACACAAAACTGCTGCTTTTTCTTCAGCCATGAACACACCCTGCACCCTTTAAATCATGTCAGGTGTTGGGTGAGCCCTTCTATGATTCCAGCCAGCCCTGAGGCAAAGCAAAGAAACCCAGGTCACAGAGTCCTGTGGGCTCTTCAGTGGGAAGAGGCCATACCTGGTGTAACTGTGACATTTACAACTCCAGTTGACTTTTAAAACCTCCATGTAGCAACTTGGAGTAGAATTTAACCTTTTAAAGAGAGAGAGCTGTTTATTCAGATTGGGCTCATGTGAATCCCTCCAGCCTTCCTCTCTTGTGCCTCTCCTGTGGGCTCTTCCCAGCTCTCTGGCCTCTTCTCAAAACAGGCAGACATTCTCTGCACTTGCCCTGTGCAGGAGTCAGGATGGGGACTGAGGCAGGACTTAGAAGACCGTGACTTCCAGTAAGGAGAGACAGCCAGTCTCAGCTGAATGCTGCTCATTCTGTGATACCAAAGACCAGCTGTGCTCGCTTGCCATTAATGGGACAATGATGGGAACCCTGAAACAACCCTTAAGGTACCGCAGCTGTGGCAAGAACCAGCCATCTGCACAGTTCTCCCTCCCTCCATCTCTGTTAAACATATCTCTTACCAGGGCCTGTGACCCCTGGAGTCAGGCTAGTGTAACCTTAGGGTTCAAATCAGACCAACCAGATGACTAGGGATCATGCACACAGAACTCCAGCTTGGAGCGACTGCCCCCTGTCTCTTTGGAGAGGTCAGGAGTGGGTGCTGGCTCTCCTTCCCAGATTGTTTCCCCAGTATCGTCTTGGGGTGCTAGTGGGGCAGGTGTTGATTTCCATTTCATTTTCTGGTGGAATTGTCAACAAATTATGAATAGTGTTGATTACTATTGTCATCCATTTAGATAAGAACATTACAGCTTTCTGAGCCTTCATTTGACTTCGGATGTGCTCTGTGTTCCTCTGGGGCTTAGGTAGGCCCAGTTGAGAACTGATCATTTTCTCTTTTTGTGACTCAGCAGATTCTGACTGCCCAACAGCTCTTGTCATCTCTTTCATAGCAGCTAGCAGTCCCTGTCAGACACGGGTCTCAGACATGCTGGCTCAGTACTAGGGGTTGCTGTAGCTCTTAGGAAAGCTACCTGTGCACTTTGCAGAATGACATGCTGTCCTGCCTGAAGTTCAGTTTCTGCCTCTCTCAATGCACTTGTTGTGGCCTGTAAGGTGATGTACCCCTGCTTCACAATTGTTACCTGAAGCTGGCTCATTCTTGAGTGGACACTTATTGCACATATGGCCCCTGCAGTGGTCACCAAGATAGGCCGACGGCACAGGCAGTATGCGTTAGCAAATAATGGATGAAGCAGTTCCATAACACGCACACCGTGTGTGTGTGTGTGTGTGTGTGTGTGTGTATGTGTGTGTGTATGTGTATGTGTGTATGTGTACACATGGGGGAAATTTCCTTTTTCTCCTTCAGTAGTGTTCATCTCCACCCCCCAATATCATTTTGATAATGCTGCAGACTTCCTTTAAAAATTCATGGTGTGCCAGTTTCTTAGTGATCTAAGAGTTTTAGTCATGCCTCACTTAAAACTTGGAAGCAAGTTTGTTTTGTATTTCTTGGGTTTCAGTGGCCTGCGGGCTTTTCCTTAGAGTTGTACTTTCTTTCTGAACTGGCTGCTTTCCAGCCATTCCCTAAATGTACCTGTCACAGCTGCTGTCAGTATTTATTTTTGGGTTTTGTCTCAGCATCTATGAGACATAATCGTGATGGCGATGGTGGCCAAGGCTGCAGCACCCTAGTGGGTCAGGTCACAGTTGGTTCCGGGTGGTGATGGGAGGGTCTTGCATAGGCTGCTCTGTGTGTGTTGGGACCATGCTGTGCAGATGTGAGGCTCAGGGTCAGAGGATCGAGGGAGCTAGCAGTAGAGTGTGTCTTCTGTGCCTTGGCTGTAGCTCAGAGCTGGTGCATCGGATCTGGGCCTCTTGATCTCTTTCCTATAGGAACGGGTGAGATGGCGGCACAGGGTAGTGGGGACAGACCTTGGCAGCGGGAAGCTTTTGATCCCCTGCCTGGTAGAACATGGTTCAGTGCTGTCTTTGTTGAACCTGCTCTCCTCTCTTTAGGAAATGCACTGGCTTCCCTTCCCTGTCTTCAGTGTACCTCAGAGCAGGGACAGGGAACTCTGAGCTCATGACAGATGTTTGTGCGATTGTTCACTTCAGACCAGGGTGGTTATAAAACTGACATTTCATTGAGTCATAGAATTTTGATGCTTCTGAAAATTGAACTGTGGAGAGTTTTGCTCAGCCTCTCACTTTGCAGGTGAGAAAACTCTCCTGGTGAGATGGTGGCAGAGTGGGGACCAGACCCTAGGCTCCCACCCTACCCTGCTTTGAGTGGAAAATGCTATCGTGTTGATGCAGACAGAGCCATTATTGGATATCGGCTAATGACAAGTGACTGTTTCTTCCTGACTCTCCTTCTGGAGTATGAGGGTGCTCACAGCCTTGGTGCGTGTGGCTCTGTCCTCACACAGGAACCTTCTGGAACAACAGCTTGCCCCTGGGCATGTGCACTTACTGTTCCCAGGCTTAGACTTGTGGTGACACCTTCCTATGGAGCTCAATGCAGGTGGTGGAGTTTGTGCTGAATGCTAACATACGGCGTTCCCTTCTTAGAACTCGTTTGGAAAACTGTAGGAAGACTTTATTACAGGAAACTTCCGTGACAGAAAAGGCTAATAATAGGCTATACTTAGTACTTTATTCTTTAATTTACCAATTTTGAGTATGTAGCATATTTACATGGTCACAAGAATAAATACAGCCAATGAAAAAATCCCCGACCCGGCTCTGTGCCTCTTCTGCCCTGTACTCAACTAAGATGTCATAACTGGTTTGGGGATTCTTAGTAGTGACTTTTCTGCATATAAATCAAGTACAAGTGTATATTTCCTCATTCCCACCTTTAGCACAGATGATGTGTTCCACTTGCTGAGATGGCCCACTACTCCTGCTCTGATCACTTCTGTTTACCTCCATGTCCTAAGGGCCTCTGCTTGGTGACCTGTACCATTCCTGGTCATCTGCTTCAGGTGGCCACCCCTCATACCCAAGGCTCCCATCCTCTGCTTTTGCTCCCTTCAAGCAACAGGTTAAGTATTAAACCAGTCCCCTGATAATGGACATTGAGACCGTGTTCACTCTTTCCCTGTTAAAAACAGCAAATACAGATACACATTTCCATGTGAATATATTCCACAAAGTGCAGTTGCCAATTCAGAAGGTAGGTATTTCTATAGGTGTTACAGATTTGCTTTTCACAGGGTTGTACTAACTCATCATGCCTACTGACACTGTGGAAGAATCCTTGCTTCTTCACAGATTTGCCGACCACATTACATCATCAAACTGGGTTTTGTGAGTTGGCTGGGTGAAAATAGCATCCAGGCATAGTATAAATCTGTACTTCTCTATAAGTGAGTGTCTTTCTGTGAGTGCCTTTTCTTTGAACTGCTTTTAGCTTTTGACCTTGTGCTGTTAGGTTGCTGCTGTTTTTCTAAGGAACTGAGATATAGTAGTTCCTTGTCATTGGAGGGTACATTTCAAGAACCCCAAGGGATGCCTGAAACCAGAGCTAGCACTGGGTCCTGTGTATATGGTATTTTTTCCTATATACGCATTTCCACGATAAAGCTTAACTTGTAAGTAGGTACGGTAAGAGATGGACAGCAGAAAGTGATGATAAAATTAGGCAGTTTTGACACTGTATTGTAATAAAGTTGTGTGAACATGGTCTCTCAGAGAATCTTGGGTTATGTGGGATGATACAATGCATATGCAAGGAAATAAAGTGAAGTGAATGACATTGTGATATAGCCTTGGGCTACTACTGACATTGTGACAATGTCAGAAGTAGGACATCTGTTTTGAGTGATCCTGCATCACCAGGCATGATGATGTTGAAGGTTGGGGATCTTGCCAAAACCTTTTAGAAGAACATCGTAGAACATCATAGAAGTTGTGTCTTTGTTTTAACTCATCGAAGTGTTGCTCCCAAGGTTAGGCTCTTCTGGCAATCATATGACTTTAATGCTGTGTTCCATCTGAGGATTACATTCCACAATTGTGCCCATGAATGTCTGTGTTCCTAACACGCTGTCATTTTCCTCTTCCTCTAGTGACCCACACATCTCATTGGTTCACACTTCTCAACGGCCTTCATCGAGCAAATCCCTCACACCGTTTTGTCTCGCTGTGTGAGGGAAGCTCTTACCATCACTCACAGCTCTACTCCATTGCTCTTTCTAGTAGGAATGTGTTTTCTGGTTTTAACCCATCGCCCTATTGCATCTTCAGTAGTGAATATTTCCAGCACTATAGTATGTCCAGATCAGGATCTGCATCAATTGCTGATCAAATACAGGGGTTGTCTGCGACCTTGATAAATGGGTCAGGTCAGATAGTACCATGGCCAAGGGTCTGAGGCAAAAATCCAACGTCAACGTTCCATTTTCATAACAAACAGATTTAGGATGACCAGTGTACTGTCTGTTATTCATAGAACTTAAATGCCAATCCTTCCTCTTCCCAGTGTTTTTTCACTTCTGGATGAAGCATTGGTGGAAGTGTTCCACAAACAAGATGGCTGTCACCCACATTTTCTGACTGTGTTGCCAGAACACGGGCAGATAATTCCTGTTTTTGTTTTTGCGAGCATTTGGGTTCTTCACTCTGTAGGCTATACCTGCTGCATACTGCCGGAATCAAACCAGTCCTTCCCACACTTTGTGCACTGCCTGGCGCTTCCTTGTACTTTTGTGAGTGTAGGCTGTATTGGGCATCTTCCACACTAGGCCACTTGTGTTTTCCTTTACTTGCAGTGAGTGGTGCGGTGTCTCATTTCGGAGGATCCTTTGCTGAAGTTTTTGTACGGGTTCGTTCTCTGGGGAACATATGCTATCAACAGAATGTCCACAGGTTCAGTGCCTTTTCCATTTGAGCTAAGCACTTACGTGCACTGTGGCCATCACTGTTACTGGTTGAAGCATGATAGATAGCAAATCTCAAACCACTTTATTATTCTTTCTTCAGAATTTCATGCACACAGTATTTGTTCTTACCATAGTCTTAGCAACCTCAGCATGTAATTTTTTATTAAGTCAAGATGTTTTACTTTTTCACCAAAAGGGAGAACTTACTGTCCTTTCTTTGGCATATCTGAATTGTCAGCATCATTGCTGTTGTGCTTTGGGACCATTAAGTGAAATAAGGGTCATTGAACCATGACAGTTGTTGATCTGATGACTAAAAGGATACCAAGGGACACTTAGGCAAGTAGCATATAAAGAGTTGACACAGCTGACGCCAGTAGTTCACGTGTCTGTAATCCTAGCTACTCAGGAGGCAGAAGTCAGGAGGATCATGGTTCAAAGCCAGCTCTAGGCATATAGTTCATGGAACCCTTTCTGAAAAATACTCAACATGAAAAGAGCTGAGGAGTTTCTCAAGCAGTAGAGAGCCTGCCAAGCAAGCGTGAGGCCCTGAGTACAAACCCCAGTGCTGCCAAAAAGAATAGTGTATACAGTGCACAAAAGAATGATTTATGTCTTACGTGGGAAGGAACTGAACAGTTAAGACTTCATCACAGTAGTCAGAACAGCATGGAACTTGAAACGTGCAGGTTGTTAATTTCTGGAATTTTCCATTCAGTATTTTCCGACTATGGCCAACTTTGGATAACTGAATCCAAGAAAGCAATGGATTTGGGGGGGCGGTGTTCTACTGAATTACAGATGTGTTACTCTGTTTTGTTATTAATCTGCTGAGTTGGTTTATGTGTTCCCCTTGCACAACTTGGTAGGTTTCATGTGGTCATATTAATCAATTCTTTTTAGCAGTTGCCTTCTGGAATTTGCATCAGGATTGGAAAGGAGCATGCTGCGTGTTGTAGTTTCTTTGATGCTCAGTTATCTGAGCTTTTGCTGCCTTATGGTCCATTTCAATCTAACAGGGGCAGCAGATTTGTCTGAATTCAGTGCTTTCCAGTTTACTGTATAGCAATGACATGATTTGTTTTCTTCGTAGAAGGCCCTTCTTTGTGACAATAGGCCTTATCACATTCATTAATAACCAACAGCCAAATGGCATGAATTTTATCATTTATAGTTGACCTTTCCATTGTATTTGTTAGGTAAAGGCACTCTTAAATACAACTGTTAAGGAAAAAAATACCAGTGAGGCCTGGGGATGTGGCTCAGCAGCAGAGTACTTGCCTGGCATGAGGGAGACCTTCAGTTTGATCCCCAGAAGCTCAAAAAAAATCAAAACAAGTAAACTTGAAACGGAGCAAAATTAAGGATATAAAATTGAAGTTGAAAAGATATACTAGTGTTAACTTTTTAAAATTGTAAGTTTAAAGCCTGGTGTAGATTATATACACCCTCTGTTGCATGTGAATTAGAAGGGTCTGGTGTGTTGGTAGGGGCTTGGGTTTAAAGCCGTTATTGTATTGACTGTAACTCTATGCTTTTTAGCAAATGAGGATATCCTCTTGGCCAGGCTACGCACAGTGCACTGCACCCCCTCTTATGTCTTAATGGGTAGAGCCTGTGTTGCACCGTCTTCTGGTTGTCATTCTTATCTTGGATGGGCCTATGGGCCTGGTCTTATCAGTACCCCATGATGGCAGCCTCCTGTCTGTACAGAGCATTTTCCCAAACATGAGCTCGTTTCTGAGGGGTTTTTGTTTTTGTCTTCCAGCCCTTGGAATACCTCACACCAGGGCTTCTTTTAAAGTGTAGTGTCCAGGGGGGTTTCACCTTGGTACTCGAGGCCTGTGTATATAGTGCTTAATCAAACCCCTCCCCCTTACTTACTGTCTTTATGGAGGTGTGACGTGCTGCCTGGCTTTCTCCAGCTCTGCACGATCTGCTTATCATCTTGTTTCTTGAATGCCATACTAATGGAGTTGATCTGCTTCTGCCTTGATTTCTTTCACTTTACCTTCCAGTTCTTCTACTGACATTTTTACTTTAGCTACTATATTTTTAGTTCTTTTTGGTCTACTAACACCCCCCCCACACACACACTGATACAGTATCTTCTTAGATCTCTGAGATATGAAATAGAAATATTTACATACATTTTTCCTAATTAGCTCAGTAATCTTTGTTTTTTATTGAAATCTTTCTTTCTGTGTTGCTGATTTTCTTCAAAAGGTACAGCTCTCAATACCTTAGGAGTTTTTGTTGTTGTTCTTAGTATTTCTCCTGTTTTTTGTTTCTGTTTGTTTGTTTTTAAGTTTTTGGTGGTGCTGGGGTTTGAACTCAGGTCCTCACTCTTGCTAGGCAGGAATTCTGCTTGAGCCACTCTGCCAGTCCTTTTTTGTATTTTTTTTTTTTTAAAGGTAGGTAGGGTCTCACTTTTGTTTCCTGGGCTTTGAACCACTATTCTCCTGCATCCCGAGTAGCTAGGATTACAGGTGTGAGCCACCAGTACCATCCCTCCTTCTCTTGAGTGTGGGCGGTACTGCTGGTTTTCTGGTGTGTGTTAGAGTGTGTTCTTCCATCATGTGGCAGCTGAGTGGACTTTGCCTTACAGGATGTGAGGCCTGGCTGTCTCGTGCCATGGAGTAGGGCTTCACTGGGGATGCAGGCATCTCTACCAGGCGGCTCATACTGCTGCTCAGTGGGACCCTGTCCCTTATGGCACGGCTCCCATGGATGTTTGGAACCTGCTGACCCCAGCTGGAGCCACTAGCTGTGGCTTCCCGTGTGTGGAATTGTCCCCTTTCTTTCATGGTGTGGAGTGTTTTTGCTGCTGCTGCCTCAGGAGATCAGTGTCCCCAGTGTGGGGTTTTCCATTGCCCCTCCTTCCCCTGAGCACTTACTTCATCCTCCTGAGTTGGTGGTGTGAGATCCTTGCCCAGGTTTGGAGATGAGCACATCATGCAAAGCTGCCTGGAAGTTTCTTCTTGGGAGGCCCAGAAATGCATGGTTAGATTGATTTGGCCCATCGTTTGTGGGACCCACTCAGGACAACCTGACCTGGCATTGCACTTGCTTGTTGGAAAATGGAACAGCGGAGTGTGGTTGTACTCGACAGGACCTTCCAGGTAAATAGACTGTTCCTCAGTAAATACAGCAAGGAGAGGTGGGCACAAGAGCACCTGCAGTCTCATAGGAGGGCCTCCCTGGGTGTGTTGCTGGTGTTCCTGGGGTCACTTCCTCCCTGACCATGCACACAGGACTCTGGTTTTCATTGAGTGTGGCTGACAGGGTGACTGCTTCACATGCTTACCCTCCTTTCCCTGCTTTATTTATGATAGTTAAACTACTTAGATCACAATATCAGATTTCACTGGCAAATATTACTCACAGTTGCAAGCTTCTGTAATTGTAAGGGTTTTCAGTAATTTTTAAGAAGCAAGACAAAATACAATCCCCATAGGACTGGGCTCATCGTCCTAGGTGAAGACTGAGTGGTGGTCACAGGCTGTGCAGCAGCTCGCAGAGGGAAGAGGCCATGTGTGTCTCTCACAAGCCAGCCCTGGGCACACAGTGGAGCATGGGGTACTCGGCTGTCCTGGGTTCTGTGGTCCAGGGCTGGGCTTCTGCAGCCTCCAGGTAGTCACAGAGGATGCTCGCCTTCCAGTCTGAGAACCAGTCTCCCTAAGTGGAGAAGGTAGAGGGATTTGGGTAGAAAACCAATAGCTTCCCTACCCTACCTCCTCATTGCCCCCCACCCCCACCTGACATTTCACTTATGTTGAGAAAGATTTTCTGGTGTGTTTGCCTGAAGGAGCTTGCCGGCATGTGGGTTGCTGTGAGTGTGAAATAGACTGACTGGCTTTCTCCACTAGGATGCCTAGTGTGCCCAGATGCCGTTGCACGCAGATAAGTACAGCAAAACGATTTTCTTCTACTGTGTTCTCAGGTCTCAGTGGCCCTCAGCAGTGGCTCCATCCGTGTGGCCGTGCTGGAGGAAAATGGAGAGCGTGTCCTCATGGAAGGGAAGCTCACCCACAAGATCAACACCGAGAGTTCCCTTTGGAGCCTTGAGCCTGGGAAGTGTGTTTTGGTAAGTGTGGGTGCCTGTGTGCAGAGCTCCCAGGTAGGTCATGAACCTGCTGTGATACCCCTGATACAGTCTTTACACTTGAGCTGTTAATTCCAGCATTGAGTAGACAAGATTTTCTAGGCAATTATACTGCTCAGCATGCACCTCCGTAGGCCTTCCCGCTGGCAGCCTCCACCTCTTAGGAGAGGTCCACTTCTCCTTGCATCTAAGGCAAAAATAAGTACACTGACACAAATGCAGGGGAGTTTCCTCAGGTGCCACTCTGGAGCATGCAGAGTCAGTACATTTACACACATGTTCATTTGACCATGTGGCACTCCAGACTGCAGCAGAGCACAGCTTGGAGTTCAGGATGATGAGACTAAGATGCAGATCCAAATAACAACTCACATGTTACCAGTCACCAGACTCCCACACACTGGGCTGCACACCTGGGTCAGATCTGTCCTTAACTCTGCACTCTGTTAATGGTGGCTGTGTGTGATCATCCCAGAGGAGGCTTCCTGCAGGAAAACCAGGGCATGATGCATATGGGGCTGACGGTTTCTTCTTTCTTCCTGTTTGGATGCTTAAGCAAGGTGTAGTAGAAGGCATAAGGATGAAAAGAAAAACATGAAGTCTTTGGTTAAAAAACGTCAAGAGTTTTATCCAGACACATTCTTCATATGTCAAAGTATATGCTAGAGGTGAAACAAGTATCTGATCGGTTTCTACAAGGGGTGCTTGGTGGTGTTTAGCCTCTCTGGGCCCACAGTGGCTCTGTCCTGCTGTCCTGGCTACTCTCGTGTTCAGAAGAGATGCAGGCCAGGGACTGAGTGGAGCGGAGTAGACTGTCAGTGTCTGTGGGAACTGGGACCAGCCTTGGCCCATCTCACCATCAAACTTGGAAAATAGAGCTCACTGTGGACCTTTTGGAGGCCCCCCCGCATGGACTTAGGCCACATACCTCAGTGCTGCCAGCGCCTTGACCTGCCTCCTCTCTTCCCAAGATCTCCTATGGCCCTGTGTGTGGTGTGGGAGTCCCCCACAGTGGGGCCGGACCTGGCTTGTGCCTGTTTCGATTCTGCCAGCACCACTGATAGCCAACAGTGATAATGTCCATGGGGACTGGCCCAGGACTGCATTCAGCCCTGCTTAAACCATGCATGTCTGACTCTTGTTCCCTGTCTCACACTATTCCACATACCCTGCTGGGCGAGGAACGTGCACTTCTGTCCATGGTGTGGCTTTTGCCCCTGTGGAGGTTGACTTTGGGTGTCAGTGTGATTGGACTGAGAGAACCAATAAAACATCCTTCTGGTGTGTCTGTGAGGGTGTTTCCAGAGAAGACTGGCATGTGGATCAGCAATCTTGAGTGGGGAGACCTGCCCTGAATGTGGGGGTACCATCCAATAGGCTGGGGCCAGAGGACCAGGAAGTAGAGAAAGGGCTTGTGCACTCTCACTGTTTCTCATGTTTGCTTTCTGTTTCTCTTTTTCTCTCACTCTCTTTCACTCTCTCGCTCTCTTGCTCTTGCTTTTGCTCTCTCTCTCTGGCTGTCTCTTCTCAAGCATGCATGGTTTTTGCTTCTATTCCTGCACTTGGATATCAGGGTTTAGGTTCTTTGACCTTTGAACATAAGACTTGTACCCGTGGCCCAATGGGGCTCTTTAGCCTTTGGTCTCCAACTGGGTTTCTCACTTTGAGGTTCTGCTTCTTTGGCTTTCCACCTTGCAGATGGCCACTGTGAAACTTCTCAGCCTCTGTGATATCTGAACCACGTGAATGAGTGCATGAATACATACATACATAAAAGCCTGTGTGTTAATAATACAACACTCAGCTTTCCCCCGGCTGAGCTCCTGTGAGCACCATCAATTTGATTCCTTTCCTTTGAGTCCTATCTAACATTCCAGGTGCCCCACAACCTCTACCTCACTTGAGCTTTGCATGGTCATAGGGGTTTTGAAGGGGCTAGACTGGCAGTTCTGGACAGCAGGCTCATCCATGGCAGGCACTGCGCTTGACTGCTTTGGCCAGCTAGATCATGCTTGAGGTTCTTCTGGAAAGAAGAGGACAGAACTTATCTCCATTTCCCATCAGTCATGTTTTACCCCACGGGATGGCAGATCTCATGTCCTTTCCTGCAGCAGGGCACTTAATCCAACCTCTACACATATGGATTATCAGTGCCAGGGAGAATCCATTGTGGCACATGCTGTGTCTGATACAGCCCAGTGCTGCTTTTTTCATTTTCCAGGAGGCCTTGAAACTGGGGATTCCCTCCTGGGTACCCTTTCCTGGCCGTGGAGCTCTCTGCTCTCTGCAGAGCAGGTGTGAGCTGCTCCAATCGTAAGGGGACTTTCTGGGAGTCTGACAGGTTTACAAGAGAGTCCTGGGGTTCTAACATCAGCAGTGATTGAGACCCTGCTGGGGGCATCCCAAGGTCATAGGGATCTCTGAAGAGCAACATCTGAGCCAGAGAGGGGGGTCAGCCTGGACCTCAGGTGGTGGCAGTAACATTTCCGGCTGAAGAGGCATTGGTGGAAGGTACTATTGGGGGGCCAGAATAAAGCATTGCTGGGGCCCTGGAATGGGACATTGTTAAGATTCCACTGGAACCTGGGTTCCGGTGGCTCACGCCTATAAACCTAGCTACTCAGGATCAGGAGGTGGGGATCACAAGGATCACAGTTCCAAGCCAGCCCAGGCAAATAGTTCATGAGATCCTATCTCGAAAATACCCAATATACAAAAGTGCTGGTCGAGTGGCTCAAGTGGTAGAGCACCTGCCTAGCAAGCATGAGGCCCTGATTTCAAACCCCAGTACCACCAAAAAAACCCAAAACCAAAACCAGAATATTCCACTGGAAGCTGAGATGTGTGGCCCACTGAGGGTCATCCTTAGTTTCTCACTAAAGGTCATGGCCCTTCATGGGCTGTCATAAGATCATCATCTCAGACCCCTTGCAGATCATCAGCCCAGGCTGGAGGGAGACCCTCTCTGACAGTAAATCTGGGCAGTGGCTCACACCATGCTCAGGTTGTGACACATGGGACTACGATCCCACTTCATCTTCATTCTGCCTGGGTCCTCAATGTCTCTGTGCCCTGAGGAAAGTGTTGGGTACTTGGCAAACCATGGTTCCAAGAGGTGTGCACTCCATGACTTCTGGAAAATGGAGACATAGCCAAGATGGGCACTGACTTCTCATTATCTGGGATGGGCTGGTTCAGCTCCTTGGGCTTCTGCCCCACATTAGCTGGGGGCCAGCTGCACATTTGGGGTCCAGACCCACTTTGGACCAGAGAGGAGACCAGCATCACAGGCAGTGTCACCACAAGTGCACACCCTAGTACTGTTTGCTTCTTTGCAGGCTTATTTTATAAGTCAGGACCTTGAGGCTCGGAGGGCAGTAGCTAGGCCACAAAGCCACACCTGCTGCTTGAAGCATTCCCTGGGGAAGGCTTGGCCTTCTCCAGCTGAGGAAGAGGGAGGGGAGCTGTTCACAATGGTTTTCAGAGGCTCTGTGTAGGAAAGTTGGTGTAGGTAACACAGTCCCCAGGCACAGGGGTATGTGCACTGTGTCCGTTACTCATCTTCTATAGAGGACGGATGTACCATCTTGCTCCAGTGCGCCCCCTCCCCCCCCGCCAATCTCCTACCCACAGATGCCCGCAGGCCTGTCCTTGCCTCTGTTCTGCTCTAATGTAGGCTTCCTTGTGCCTGGGCTGCTGTTATGGCTAGAATTTGGTTTTACCAGGCACCTGCTACCTGTAGAGTTCAAAGGAAGAGCAAACCCAGCTACAGACACAGTATCTGTGCCACTTCTGGCAGGGCCGGGGGAAAACCCTGGAACTGAAATGCTATATGTGTAGGCTTCTCTTGTCCCCAAAGTTGCTCTCACTGTTGGCAGGTGGATTGTGGTTTGAGTGTAGCTTCACTCCTGAAAGGAAAGGGTCCAAGAAAGGAGTCGTGGAGACATGGTAACCCTCTTCCCATGGCTCTCGCATCTGCCCGTCCCTGACCTGCACATGGATCCATTCCTGCTGCATGTGCTCCACCCTCACCTCCCTAGCACGTAGCCATTTACAGGAGCTCAGGGTTTGCTGTGTTCTTCATTCATCGGTAACCTTTCTGGGCCACATTTTTTCCTTGTGACTGCATCTGACCTAGCACTGTAAATCAGTGTGGACATGATCGTTTCGATTCCTGAAGTTGCTTTTCCTTCTCCCTGTACTGCGTCTGCTATGTGGATCCCAGCACGCTGCATGCTGAGCATGTGGGTGCAGAGAGAGTCACTAGCGATTGGAACCTGCTTTTGGGCCATCACCGTAGCCATGCTGGACTTCTTTTCTTGACCTTCAGGTGAGGCCAAGCACCTAGCCTGGCTGACCCCATGTTTGTTGGTTGTGCATCACTGAGTGCCTACACAGGCATGGGTAAGGAGAGTAAATGGAGAGCCCCTCTTTACAGGTCCCAGATGTCTTGCAAACATGGCTTTTTTGGAGAAAGGGTCTTGAAGGTGTGATGAAGTTAGGAATCTCAAGATGGAATAATCCTAGATTAGCTGGGTGAGCCCTGAGTTCTCGACAAATATCCCTATAAGAGATGGAAGAGGAGATACAGATGCAGAGAAGGCCACGTGAAAGACCAGTCAGAGACCCGAGTGATGATGTGCACAAACCAGAGGATGCCTGCAGCCACCAGGAGCTGGGAGAGGCAGGAAGGGTCTTCCCTGAAGCCTTCAGGGCAGGCTTCTGGACTTTTGGCCTCCAGAACAAAAGGGTAGGTGTTGAATTCCTGTGAGTTTTTTTAGAGTTTTGGTCTTTTAGGGTCATGGCAGCCCTGGGACACTCAGGCAGGGTACCCTTGCAGGTGCTCTGAGGAGGGACAGCATTTGGAGGTGGTACTGTCACCCCCAGATTCCTTCTCTCCTCCCAGCTTGTGAATGCAGACATGCTGCTTGCTTCTCTAAAGCCACCTTCCACACAGCCTGCTTCTCTTCCCCTGCAGTGGA